TTTCCTTCCCAGAGGCAAACAATGTTATCAGCTTCTGTTGCATGTTTTTTGATAAAAGCATTACAAGCAAACACATTTTCTCTCTTTCTTTTTTAATGATATCACAACATATTCAATGTTGCACATTTTGTTTCTATTTATTGATATATCTTGGAATTCATTCCATATTTGTATATGTGGCTATCCTCATGTTCCTTTAATCCTCATGTTCTTCTACAGCTAAAAATAATCCATTAAGATTCACTACCCATTAACAGGTTTTCTAGTTGTTGGACAATTAGAATATTTCTAAATTTGGTCTATTTTAAACTTAAATTGCATACATAATATCATTTGGCATGTTATAAAATCTAAAGGGGTTGGGGGGATAGAATTGCTGGGTCAAAAACTACACACGTGTATTTTCATAGATATTCCCAGCACAGTGGATTATTAAACTTTCTGGTCTTTGCCCATCTGATAGATGAAAATGGAAAATCCATTTCTTCTCTTGCCTCAGGTCACTTGAGTTTAAACTATAACTTGCTGCCCACAAACTCCTTCATTCATTCATTTAATCGCGAGGCATTTCTCACATACAAGGCTCCAACCCAGTCACCCCGTCTCCTATAAAGCAAAACTCCCCTCACCAAATCCTATGTGGCTCAAGAATTCTCCCAGATGGCTGGGCTTTGAATAACTGCTGATATCTTCATTATAAAACAAGAGAAAGTGTTGGGGTTTTGGAGGCACAAATAAATAATATTCTTGTCCCAGTTCTGTCCCCCAAACCCTCCCACCTTACTCAGCTTCAAGTTGAGACCAATCAAGAGACAGTCACAGGAGTCAAAGTTGGAGATGGAAATATATGCTTTACGTTGGATAAAGCCAAGTTGGGGGCCTCCCTGGTGGTGCAAGGGGTTAAGACGCAACCTATGAAGCTATGTGCAGCCACTGCAGCACAAAATCGAACTCTAGCCAGGGGGTTACCCACATGGCGCAGCAGACCTCTCCTGACTCGCCCGCTGCTCCCCCAGCAGTGTTTTCGTCAGTCTGCCTGTTCTGCTCCCCACTCTGTCTCTGGTGAGTCCTCTCACCCCTACCTCTGCACCTCTGGCTTATACCCCAGCTCTTGTATGCATAAATAAATAAATCTAAAAAAAAAAAAATTCCCCTCCTTTAAGGCTGCCGGAAAATCTGGATGAGAGGGGATAAGGATGACCACTTAGCGGAGAGCCTCAGCTCCGTCCTGCATCCTTCCCTGTAAGAAGTTTCTCCTCCTTTGCCACAAAATGAAGGGTGAGAGCAGACAGTGTCAGTGGGAACACCTTCCCACCAAACTGCAAAGGCTCTGATTTACAAACATCAGCAGGGGGTCTTCCTGGTGCCACAAGGGGTTGAGCACCACACTATGAAGCAATTCAAAGCCCTGAAGCATGAGTTCGATCCCCGGCCCACCAGGAAGCAACCCACATGGCAGAGCAGACCTCTCCTGTCTCACCCGCTGCTCCCCTCAGCAGTGCATTTCTTTGTCAGTCTGCCTGTTCTGTTTCCCGCTCTGTCTCTGGTGAGTCCTGTCACCCCCATGTCTCTGGCCTGTACCCCAGCTCTTGTATGCATAAATAAACAAATCTTTACAAACATCAGCAGGACACCTTGTACCCTTGTTTATGGAGTCTCCACCATTAAGCTCGCTCTCTCTGGGCAGGGCCAGCCAGCATACTTCCCAGCCACACCATCTGCTCCAGCCAAGCCAGGCGCCCTTCCTGCTCATCTTTCATTAGCCACCAGATCTCAGAACAAGCTAGTCTATGAGCCTGGAGTATCCTTGGTCTTTGGATTTCTGCAAACCCACACCAGTCCATTTCTAAGCATGAACTCAACACCTGGCTCATACCTGCTGTCCTTTGACTACACACTTGGTCTATGTTAACTTTTATTTTTTACACAAAGTATGTTGTCACCATTATTTAGAGAAATATACAGACTTTTCTGGATAATCAAAGCTCTGCATCTAAGTATCAATATTTAATTCATTCAATGGGCAACATTTATTGAACACTGACTTATTAAGTACCCAGTACTATGCTACATGATAGAGATTTTAGATAAACGAAGGTAAACAAAGAGAAGCCTCTACAACATAGGCTGAGAAACAAGTCTGGTCTGAGTCTTCTTTGAAGGATGAAAACATTACATCTCAGCTACTCCCGCTGCCTTATTTGATAGATGTGGCTAAAGCTAATTATCGTCTCTCCAGCCTTCTTAAATAGAGAGGAATGAACAAAATCTGAAACATTTGTGTTGACTTGGGAGCATACTCGGAACCCTGTTTTAAAAGAAAACCTTTTCTGGGGCCTCCCTGTTGGCGCAAGGGGTTAAGACTCAACCTATGAAGCTGTCTAGAGCCACTGCAGCACCAGTTTGATCCCCTGCCAGGGAGCTACCCACATGGCACAGCAGACCTCTCCTGTCTCGCCTGCTGCTCCCCTCAGCAGTGGATTTCAGTCAGTCTGCCTGTTCTGCTCCCCACTCTGTTTCTGGTGAATCCTCTCAAACCCCCCACACCTCTGACCTGTACCCCAGTTCTTGTATGCATAAATAAATAAATCTTTATAAATAAATACATAAATAAATGAATAACTTTTCTGATTAAAAAAAAAATTTGTTCCTTGTGAAAAATTGAAATTTTCTTTTTTCTAATTACCATGATCATGTGATCCAAGAAGCATCCACTACAAACATATTTAAGTCTCTCTCTCTCTCTCTCTAGACTTTTATCCAATCCACTTTTAAGGAGTTTTGCCCTAGTAAAAATGTACTATGCTGAACATAAACATTCATAGCTTGCTCTCCTACAAGTCAACATTATGGAATAGACAATCTTCCTGTAAACACCTTTTGCTGAAAAAAGTTTTGGGGTAAACTGAGACTTCTCTCCTCCTATTCACCTCCACCTTCCTCCACACACAGCCCTGTAACAGGAGAAATCCTGGGTCCTCAAGGTCTCCCCATTTCTCTGCTCCCTCCCACTCCCAATGCCAGAGAGCAGAGCTCATCCCTCCTCTGCTGTGACCACAGGAACCTGGGGGAGCTGAAAACTGGTGGACATTTCACAGATGCTGGAGGCTGTGACATTTGAGGGACTCAGGAATGAATTAAAGGACAGAGGCCTCCTTGTTTCTAGAATGAGGAGTTGCAAGTCCCAGGCAATTGGGTGTAGCAGCAGGAGGTTCTAACACTGAGACAGAAAACAAATAAAAAGTAGTGGCTAGAGATGGGGTGCCTCCATGTAGGATACCCTCTGACTGGTGGGGTGTCCATTCTCCTTCAGGGAGGCATGTTGCAAAGTGTCAGCAGCCTCTTGGAGACTACACTGTACAAGCTGAGTCCGACACCTCTCTGAGGGCTTCAGCCGAGTGCAGAAGACTGTGAAAGGTGCACAGTTTCCATCTTCTCCATTTGCAGAGGATTCTGGGGGCAAACCTGACAGACAGAACAGGGATGATTCATGTGGGTTATATTTCTAAATGGCTATAGGGTTACTGCCCGTGATCAGGGAAGGGAAGCTTATCAGCACATTGTGTCACCCTTTGCACCCCAGCAAGATACGGGCTGCTTGTAGACATGGGAAGGGTCCTGGCCCCCACATAAAATGACCCCAGAATGTCTACGTGGCCACGTGATGTTAATATATGTTAGACAAGTTTAATGTTAGGTTCTTACTCTTGTCAGTTTGTAATGTCTAGTTCAGGAGACAGCCCATCACCATGACTCTAATCTGGTTGGTTCTGGAGAAGCTAGCTAGAATATATTCAAAATGAGAAGAAATGAATTTGGGGTAAAGAAAGCAGAATGCATGAACTGGGAAATCATAATTGTTTCTTAAAACATCAAATGCGTCTGCTTACTGGCCTCCAATTTTTTCTGGGCAGCTGATCTGGCTGAAGAAGTAGCCACCCAGGGGCCTCCCTGGTGGTGCAAGGGGTTAAGATGCAGCACTATGAAGCTATCACCAACCACTACAGCCTGAGTTCAATCCCCAGCCAGGGAGCTACCCACACGGCGCGGCAGGCCTCTCCAGCCTCGCCTGCTGCTCCCCTGAGCAGTGGATTTCAGTAGATCCGCCTGTTCTGCTCCCCACTCTGTTTTGGTGAATCCCCACACCTCTGGCCTACAGTCCAGTTCTTGTATGCATAAATAAATCTTAAAAAAAAATAAAGAAGTGGACACCAGAGAAACCAATTTTTCCCACATCTTGATAGGTGTGGTGGGTGCTAAGTTCATAGAGGCTTACAGGTATCTCGCCTAAAAGGGATAGGTTCAAAGTCCAAAGTCCCCCTAGGAGTACCTTGAGAGCAGGTGCCAAACCTTCATGTGCTTCGTGTGGCATTGTGAAGACAAATTTTCCACACCCAAAGTTCCTTGTAAATGTTGAGAACCATATTTAACACTCCTGTGGCCAGGGACAGTCATGACACTTAAGTGACAAGGCCTTCCTATCCATGCCAGGCCTGGGGTTCTGCTCCAGGACATCAAGTAAGAGCTTTCCCCAGGAAAAATATTCCAGAAGAGGACTGTTACTTTCCCCAAGGAGGGCACCAAGTGGAGAGCTGAGAGCACGCTCAACTACCCTGGGAATCTGAAAACAATTTTTTTAATCATTCTGTGGAGGAAGCAGCCCAGAGCTAGAACAGGTTCCCTGAGCATCCTTGAGAGACCTGGGCCAGAGAGAGAGCTGGTTCTCCAAACTTCCTGATGCAATCTGAGGACATTTCCCAGAAGACATATTTCTCACTTATTACTCTAAGAAAAATAAATTAAAAGTTTAGGAAAACAACCCCCAAACCTCAAGCTAATTGACTTCAGAAACAAATGACAGATCCAGCTCTGATCACTGAGCTCTGCATCCAGCAAAGAGCAGAGCTGGGGTGACCTGGATGCCAGCAGCGGCCAAGTGTCCTTTTGGTACCATGCCCTCTGCTTTGGCTTTCTTTTTTTTAACTTTCTTTGTTTTTAAACAGGGGAGAGTTCAGTCCCCCCGCACCACAAAGTATGCAACAGAGCTTCCCATGTTTGGGGAAATCACAGGAGTCAGCATATCCAGAGCTCAATGGATAAGCCTCGTCCTGGCTTTGTGATCTACTGATCCATCTGTGTGATCACAGTAGCTCCCTTGCCAGGTATTTTTTTACCCTTCATTAAAGATCCCTTCTTCCTCTTATAACAGAGTCCTTCATAGAAACTCTAATTATGTATTTAAATAACAGCACAGAATCCAATCTCTGTTGTGAATCGCCTCAGTGTGCTACAGAAGACCCAAAACTCTATAATAAAACAACTTCACATTGAACTCATTTGGGTTCACTTTGATCTGAAGCAAAACCTATCACTTGACACATTTGGGGAGAGAGATTGGTTGATTTGGAAGGAAACAGTTAAAAAATGAAACAAAAAATAGGGGATTGCCAGACCCCAAAAGAAGCACAGGTGTTATGGTGTCGTGACAAAGATCATATATGGGACCACTGCCGTGCACAGATCATTCTGGGAATAGACTTTCTGAGAAGGATGGAATCCTTCGACCATTTTCTTTCCTGAACCCATTCCTCAACATTTTCCTGACTATGGTGTCGGTAAGCACCCTATCCTCTGAATGTCCTCGGCTTCCTTGACAGCACCATCTTCAGGTCTCATCCCTGACTTTTGGATGCTTCATCTCATGGGCCCAACAACCTCAAGTGCAGAGTTCCTTGGATTCTGTCCTTGGATCTTTTCCCTTTTGCTTCTCCCTGGATGGCCAAAAACACCCCCACAATGTCAGCTGTTATCTGTAAAGTGATGATTTCCATTTGTCTGTGTCTAGCCCAGGTCTGAATCCTTGTTTCCTGAAGAGAGCTTGGCCATCGTAGAGAGACCTCAAACTCAACATGGACAAACTGAAATGCATCCAGGTTCCTAAATTCCCTTTCTAGCCCTTATCTTTGTAACTAGCACCGTCATCTACCCCTCAGTCAAGCAACAGATTACATGGATTCTCTGCTCCAATCCCTCTGCTCACCCCAGCACACCGTTTGTCATCATTTGTCTTAGTTTGGAATTGCTATTTGCAGCTGGATAGAAATGATAGAATTCACAGGGCCTTAAACACATCAAGTTGCCTTTTTTTTTCTTCTATAGCAGGAGGTTCAGAGTCAAACCACACCCGTCTGCATTGGATCTGCATCATTAATTGCTGTCTGTCTTTCTTCATGACGTGCTTTTCACAAGACTCCCACCCTAGGAGCACATCATGAGTCCAAGATGGCCTCTCCCAATCCAGGCAGAAAGATAATGAGAGAAAAGGTGATGAAGGCACTTTTTTGGCTCATAGCCACAGCGAGAATGGTGACTAGCGAGGCAAGGTAGAAACCCATGCCACCCATTCTACTTTCTTAATATCTTTCAAACTCATTTCCTAATATAGTTGGTTCAGACACTCATCATGTCTCATGAAGGCTGCTTCAGCAGCTTCCTCATTAGACTCCTTGCCTACGACCTGCGGCCCTCACAGCCATTGTTCACACTGCTGCTATAACGCTTGCTTTTTTTTTTGATAATTAATTTCTTTATTTGTATATATTTTACATCAAGTGTAGTCCCCATAAAATTTTCACCACCAGTTCACCTGTGCACCATCACCTTAGTCCCTACGCTCCCCACACCCTCACATCCCTCTACCCTCCCGGGTGTCTCTGATTTATAGTCGTCTAATTATTTTTGTTTAGATTTGTCTTTATTTTTTTTTTAGATGGTTGCACAACTCTCTTCCTTAAATGTGAATCTGATCCCTACATAAAATCTTTCAAGGATTCCCCTTTACCCTTCTGGAAAAGTCTCAAATTAATTTGCACGTTTGCAGCCTTTTCCAATCTGACTCAAAACCACTCTGGGCCTTCTCTTGCCTCTCTTCTGCTCAGCACTTCAACCACTTCTCCATCCCAGTGCATCTTGGTTGTCTCATGCCATCTCTTCTTCACAAGTGCTGTCACTCTGTCTGCAACCAAGATGCTTTCGTGTGTGAGCAACAACTGAAGGCTTGATTAAAGAGCCCACACAGCCAGGCCACCTGTTCATACAGTAAAAAATAGTCAGCAAAATATGTTCTTTGTTACACATGTATAAATATCACTCCACAACACAACAGACTTGCTTCCTCTGTCTCCAGAAATAATCCAAAGATACCTCTCCAGGAAGAGAGATGTGGGGACTTGCACCTATTGCTTCCACAAAAGTCTAATGAGTCCACACATCCATGTGTCTGAAGGAGAAGGCAGAAGTGCAACTTCCCAATTGATGAACCACCTTGTCAGCCAAGACGCCCGTATGTAGATGAAAGCAGAACAAGGAAAAAGTGAATAACGATGAAAGAAAAGCTGTGCCATCAACACAGAAACTCCTGCAAAATGCATTCACCTGGATTCCGACCTGAGACGTGTGGCTTGTGCGTAAGAACAGAGAGAATGGAGAAAAAGCAAGAGGCTAGTGAAGCTGCTTCCTGCATATGCAATGGGGAAAAACAATCAAATCAAGTTACTGCTGGGTAGAGAGGAGTGACAACAACACGAAGAGGGGTGGTGCCCAGGGGACAGCTCCTCCGGCTCTTTGGAAACCCCACAGAAAATGGGGCATAAGTCTATTCTACCATCTTTCAACTGGCTCCTTCCTGGAAGTCTTGAGGGCCTTGTTCATGTTGCTTCAATATGTCCCCTTTGCTGTAAATAAATGGCGTTGCAAGGAGCCGGCCTACCACCGCGACTGCTACTGACACTTGGCTGCTTTTCGCAGCACACACGCCACCAGGAAAGAGATGGGTCAGGGAACGAAAGGATTTTGGAAAAAGACATTCAATGACTGCCAAAGCTGTTCAGAAAAAGAGCCTTCTAAGGACATATAGATACTGTCTGGTCATCTGTTGCTGTAGCTCTATGGGGAAATTCTTGGAGATGTGGGCAAGGAAAAAGCACACTATTGAAGGTCTTGGTGGTTTCCAGGACATTTCCTCTTGACCAGCTACTGCTTCTCCTCTCTAGTCTTCAAAGGAAAAAAATTCCATGTTTTAGGCACAGTTGTTTAAAGAGAAATGTAACACAGGACATGAAAATTCCAAAATACTTCTCAACTGCAATTTTTAATAGCTTTCACATAAATTATGAAAGGAAAATGAAATATGGGCTTGGAGAAAAGAGAGGTTGAATCCCAACATGATCAGAAAAAGTTTCATAATCAAGGTGGAAGCCTCTGTTTAGGTACCTACAAAACTGGTCTCCAAGACAAGAAAACGTGTGAGTGTACCGTATCTCACAACAGCTGGAGAAGAAAAAGAAAATATTTGAGTGACTATTTATAAAGGATACTAAACTTTAAAATATAGGTACTATTTCATTTAAAAATAAATGAGCAGGGCCTCCCCTGGCGGCGCAGTGGTTGAGAACTGGGCTGCCAGGCTGCCTGCAGCCTCTGCAGCACCGGTTCAATCCCCGGCTGCTGGGGAGGGTCCCACATGGCGCGCAGACCTCTCCTGCCGCCGGCTGCCCCCCTCAGCAGTGTACTTCAGTCAATCTGCCTGTTCTGTTCTCCACTCTGGCTCTGGTGAATCTTCTCACCCTCCCGTGTTTCTGACTGTACCCAGTGCTTGTGTAAATAAATAAATAAATCTTTTTTAAAAATAAATAAAATAAATGAGCAATTAGCTATAAAAAATAAAAAGAATACATCAATGTGATTAGGATGGGGTTCATCCTCAAAGCACCACCCGAAAGAGCCACAATAAATGGGTGTGATGCTGGAATTGCCTTCCCTTCTTTTTTTTGTAAAGATTTTTATTATTTATTTATACAAGCACTGGGGTAGGCCAGAGGCGTGGGAGGGTGAGAGGATTCACCAAAGACAGAGTGAGGAGCAGAATAGGCAGATTGACTGTAGACATTGCTGAGGGGAGCAGCGGGCCAGCCAGGAGAGGTCTGCCTTGCCATGTGGGTAGCTCCCTGGCCAGCTGGGAATCAAACCTGCACTGCAAAGTCTGCAGATAACTTCATAGCGCTGCGCTCTACCTGCTGCGCCACCAAGGAGGCACTACCCATCCCTTCTTACTGATGCTTTAAGTTGGCCATTTCCAATTGGCCAAATGCACTGCATTGTTATTGGCTTCCCACCCTGCTCTTGTCCTTATCTCCAGTTCCCCAACATTCATGAATAAATAACAAGACAGAGAAGACCAGCACCTTTACAGAGCACTAGGGTCTACTGTACTTAGCACACAATAGACTCACTGGACATCCCTTAATTACAAAGTACTTCCTAAGCCTATGGAGATAACTCTCCAGTTCACTATCATTTGCTTGGAGACTCTTCACATAGTCGTGAGGACTTGGATACATCTTCATTAATCTTTGGATATGCCAAGGTCATCAATGAAACTGCATTTAAAAAAATAATAAGACAAAACTTAAATTGAACCAGCAGTCAGTGTAGGTATCTAACAACAATTTTGGAACAATACCAGGCACAAATCAATAAAATATAGTAGATGTTGGATTTTCTTCTCTTCCTCAAGCTAGTCCCTGTTGCACAGGGAGGACATTTTCTTGAAATGATGTTCTATAAAGATTACATGTGTTGGACCTCCCTGGTGGCACAAGGGGTTAAGCACAGCACTATGAAGCAATCTGCAGCCTCTGCAGCACAAGTTCGATCCCACAGCCAGCTAGGGAGCTACCCACATGGCACAGCAGACCTCTCCTGTCTTCCCGCTTTTCCCCTCAGCAGTGTATTTCAGTCGGTCTGCCTGTTCTTCTCCCCACTCTGTCTCAGCTGAGTCCTCTCATGCCCTGTACCTCTGGCCTGTACCCCAGCTCTTGTATGCATAAATAAATAGAAGATAATCTGCTCGCTTACGTAGATACCAATGGCTTTGAGTTGCTATGTTAAAGCAGAGATTTCACAAGTGATGGCAAAATAAGAAATTTTGTCAGCCACACATTTTTCTTAATTTTTCTTTGGAAATTGTGGGCAGGAGAGTAGATATCCACCAGTGAAGATGGTATCACATCTACACTCTGACACGCATTTTACATTTCAATTTGTTTGCTAGTGTGGGTAGCACAACCCTCCCCGGGGAGCCATATATTAATACTTCATTCACCAGAGAGA